ATTGTGATTTCAAAGTTAGATATAAAATAGATTTCACTAAGAAAAAGGTGGGAGTTTTAGGCCTTATCAGTACAGATTGACTTTACAAATAATAGAGACAATGTAGAAATAAGAGAAAAGAGATACTGGATCATTGTATAAACACTTGGTCATAAATCAGCAGTACTCCTTGAATTTGAAAAAAAAAAAAATTTTACAAGGGTAAATATAACTACCACAGCAATAAATACTCATAGGACTTTTTTCCTTTCTTGCCAGGTTCCATCAGATAATTTATTTAGCCTGGATACCAGTCTTGATTTAATTTCACCATGAAATACCCTAATTGGTATACATGTTAATAGTATCTTTATTAGAGGTAGTAGTAGAAAACTGGAAGTGGAAGGGACCTTAAATGAAGATGATCTAGTCTTCCCATTTTCCTCTCGCTTCTCTGGCTTTTTTTAAAAATGTTTTATTACAACAACTTTCAAGCATATTCAAAAATAGAACAGTACAGTGAGCCTTATGTAGATGCACTACCTCCTCCTCACTGAATTATTTTAGAGCAAAATCTAGACATACTTTATCTGTAACTACTTTAGTGTGTACCTTTAAAAGATAAAGAATCTTAAAAAACACCCAAAATACCTTCACCACACCAAAAAATAATGACAGTTCTTAAGTGTTATCAAATATCCAGTCAATATTCACATTTCTCTGATTGTGTCATAATTAAAAAAAAAAAAAAAACAACTGGATTGTTTGAATTAGGATCCAGACAAATGTATAGATTATGTTTGATTGACACATTTCTTAAATCTCTTTTCATCTATTAGTCTTTTCCTCCTTTTTTTTTTTTTTAATTTTTTTTTTATTGTGATTTGGTTGAAAATTTACAGAGCAAATTCACTTTCCATACAGCAGTTCACATACACTTTATCTCATGACATTGACCACAATGCAACAGCCCCCCTCCCACTTCCTCCCGACAGTTGCCTCTTCCCTGTGTCCATCCCTCCATGCACTCCTGCCCCCTGAGCTGTCTCCCTGTGCAGCCCTACTTTCTCCCATGATTGTTCTCTCCAAGGAGTGTATTCTACCTCAGGTAAATGTTCAATTCCTATGCCTGTCTTTTGTTTGGCTGGAAGCCACAGGTGTGGGTTCAATTCCAGACCTGAAGAGCAGCTAGGGACCATAGTCTCAGTGGTTCCACCAGGCTCTATTGGACCAGCAAACCTGGTCCCCCCCCCCTTTTTTTTCTCCAAATGATTTTGAATTTTGTTTCACATTGTTCTCCCTCTCTATCCAGGATCTCCTACATAGATCCCCCTCCAAATGTTTGACAGTGGTAGCTGGGCACCATCTAGTTCTTCTGATCTCATAGTCATATAGGCTGCATATCGCATGGTGTACCAGTCGCTAGGACTAATTGTTTCCATGCATTTTTGGTTTTCTTCATTCTTCTTTGCTCTGGATGAGGAGAGACCCATCGTTGCATCTAGATGGCTTCTTGCAAGCTTTTAAGATCCCAGTCACTACTCACCAAAGTAGTTCCTCCTTTTTTTTTAATGCATTGTATTTTTTGTTTTTAATTGTTGTTGCATAAACCAGTTTCTGTAGAAGTTCCTACAGTTTAGTTTTTTAACTTATTTCTCTGTCCTTTCTGTTTGCAGTACTACTAGTAGTTAGATTGAGAGGCTTTATTAAGGTTTGGGATGTTGGCAAGAACACTCCAAAACTGGTGTTTTGTGTTTCCTATTGTATGACATCAGTAGTCATATAATGGCTCATTGTCTTTCTTTTATGTTAAGAATAATTAGTAGATTCCAGGCCTTTTTAGCTGACGTATTAATACTAAAGTTCTCCAACAGCTTTTTATCTTGATTTTACCAGCCATTAATGGTCTTTGGGTTAACCTTTTACATAATTAAGGAGTACAAAGTAGTGATATTCTAAGTCTATCCTTTTGCATTTACTAGCTGAAAATTTCTATAAAGAAGAATTTTATGTTAGTCAACTATTTTCTGTATGACTATTTGATCATATAGAAAAAGCAGGATAACTGATTAATTTTTCCCTTTATAATCTGACTAGTGAACTTTTGTATTAAAATTTTTTTTGAGTATCATTGCAAACTCAATGATTTAAAACATCTTTGATTTTTAAATACTATTGAAATTATTATTTTTTTGGTGAGCAAATTGCCCCATTTTTGGTACAGTGAGAACTCCTTCAAATTGCCTCCTATAGACTTATTGACATGATCCCAGGAGTCTTTGAATTTCCAGGCTCTTCTTGTACATTTTATGCTCCAGACCTGAAGTAGCCATTTTTCTAAGGATTGGCCAGATTTTAAAGTTCCCAGATAAAGACGTGAAATGGCTGTACTACAAGAGCTTGTTGGAAGACAGATCTTTAGATCAACACCCTCTCCTCTCTGCAGTGCTGCCTCTACAGGACTGAGGCACACCTAGCTGCGTTTCTGACAGCTCTTCCCTCCTCCCCTCATCCTTTCAGCAGGATATTTTTTTCCATAGCAGAAGCTGGTAAGTGCCACATACTCACTATCCCAGCTTACTTTGCTGATTGGGACAAAGAGATGTAGGGGAAAGATGTTCAATTTTTAAAAATGGGCATTTTTACTTTTGCCTTTAAAAAAATACTGTATTTAATTTTCCAAAACCTGTTTAAGACAGCTCTTCATTTTCCATACTCAGAGAGAGTGAAAGAAGTCTGAATGATGAAAAACTGGGTAGTTTATAAATTATCTGTTTCCCTAAAGGGTCTTTAGCAGCTATAGACTTATCTCCTTAATTATGTTTAGTTCTGAATAATATCTAATAATTATAATAATAGCATTCACTTTGCTCAGGAAATAGCCTTAGTACTTTCATGTACTAATCTTAGTACTTTCATGTGCTAAGATTAACATGTGTGGGGTAGCTATTATTATTCTATAATATTAAAAAAACAAACTCATTGCCATTGAATCGGATCTGACTCATAGCGACCCTTCCTTGGGTTTCCAAGACGGTATCACTACAGAAGTAGATTGCCCAATCTTCCTTCCAAGGAGTGGCTGGTGGGTTTGAACCTCCTTAGGCACTATGCCACCAGAATCCTATTCTATGATATAGAGGAGGAAATTGAAGGAAAGAGAGTTTATGTGACTTGCTAGTAAGTGGGGAGCAAGGATTCTAACTTACACACTCTGGTTCCAGAATAGTATTAAAATTGGGTTCCATTTCCAGAGTGTTAGAGTTTACTAACAGAGGGTGGAATGGGTTATAAATGTATTTTTAGGTGGATTTAAAATTTATGATACTTCATTAGCATATTTTATAGTTTCTGCTGAAAATTAGTACATTTGTTTCATGTTGCTACAATCAAATGTAGGATCTTTTAGCTATCTAAAATTACAAATGGCTCAATAATATATTGGTTTGATTTTTTTAATAATAATATTGCATGGGAAATAAACTAAAAAGCGTCATTTATGAGACAATTTCGGTAATGCCCATAATGCAGATGAAAATGCTCCAAACTACTTCTTATCAATAGAATTTACAGCGTTCGGGCAAGTTGACATGGATAGAGGAAGCTAATAATATTTTATATTTTGAAATATGTATTGTCTGTTTGAAAGGCACCCTGGTGGCACAGTGGTTAAAGTGCTTGGCCGCTGCTAACCAAACAGTTGGCGTTCCATCGAACCCACAAGATGCTCTGTGGAGAAAGATATTGCAGTCTGCTTCTGTAAAAGATTTACAGCCTACTGTGCCCTTGGGGTTGCCAAGAGTCAGAATTAACTCAGATACAGGGGGTTTGGTTTTTGGTGGTTTCACCCTCTATTTGTGAAGATACTGATTGACCACATTAAGCATTAGGCATATTGTTGAGACTTACAGTGGTGAAATGGGTACACAAACAGGCCCAGACTTTTCTCCCAATCCTTTCAAGGCCTTGTGTGCCAGGTGATTACTACAGTCTGCTAAAGTTGATTCCAAAGATAAAACCAACCTTATAGGATTGCATGGAAGGTAAGATGATACCTTGCCCCCTGCCTCCTTCTCCTTTCCAATATCTTCTTCAGAAAAAGATATTTATTTGAATTCTTAGAAAATATCTGTGAGACACTGTCAATGACTTTATATGAGTGTAAACGACAGTTCAAGAAGGCACATCTTGAAAATTCAATTAATACTAGTTTTGCATGCACATGGAAGCCTTCTGATAGAATCTATTAAAAAGAGGCTATGGCATTTCACATAGACTTATGAATTTTTTGGGGGGGCATATTTTTATAATTAGAATTGGTGGTGTTATAAACAAGACTTATAACTATGACTTTAAAAGCACTCTTAAGTACTTCTCAAACTACCAGGTTGTTGTTATTTTATTAAAATTTTCTCTTTGTTGCAAACTGTAAAATACAATAAAAATGAATTATTAGAAAAACATTTTAAAAGAAAGGCCTACAAGTAAAAGGCCATAATTCAACCTACAAAATTATTCTTCTTAATTGCTATGAAAGTTTCTAAAGCATTCTCTCAGTTTTTGTTAACAGGTTATAGTGTGATGCCGGCCATCAGCCACTCTGCGTGGCACTCCTGGAAGTGGTTATGTTCTAGAAGTTACAAATACAATATAGAGGATAGCTGAAAAAATTGTCTCTCCTAGTTTTATGAAAATTGTATCAGTGGGGAGAGAATGGTCCAAATGCAATGAGCTACCTGTTTTGTAAGTAAAGTTTTATTGGCACAGAGCTATACTCATTCATTTATATAATGTCTCCAGCAAAGTTGAATAGTTGGGACAAAGACCATTGGGCATGAAAAGCCTAAAGTATTTTATTATCAGGTTCTTCGCAGAAGAGTTTGTTAGTGCCTGTTTAGATTTTAAAGATGACAGCGAAGAATGACAGCTGCTTATGTTTTGCTTGTTTCCTCTTTTTTCTTTACTATATTTTCTTTGTTTAAATGCATTAGACATATTGTTGCTTAACTTTTTTCCTGTAGTCACTGATGTACCTCAAATAAATTTGAAGATAAGTGAAGAAAATGAATGTATCAGGAAAGATCAAATAAAGAAGAAAAAAAAGCGTAAAGATTATCAGCCCAACTATTTTCTGTCCATTCCAGTCACCAACAAAGAGGTACTTCAAGTTTTTTTTTACTATAAAGTTTTAGTGTAAATTATATTTAAGGTTCACCAAATGCTTGTAAGTTCACTAGTTCTCCATTTCTGAGAATCTTGGATGGCATATTAGCTGACTATGCAGGGATTATTCCTATTTAAAGAATATTGTTAGTTGCCCTTACATAGACTCAGAATTACGGTGATCTTTTCTACAATAGAATGAAACATTGCTCGGACCTGTGTCATCCTCACAATCACCAGCATATTTGAATCCCTCTTGTGGCTACTGTTGTGCCATTCCGTCTCACCGAAGGTCTCTCATGCCCTCCTCTACTATTTCGCTAACCATGAAGTCCTCCTCTAGTAATTGATTGCTCTGGATAACATGTCCAGAGCAAGAGAGTCATGCGTTCTGTTGGTGATCTGTAAGATTTTCACTGGCAGATTTTTGGAAGTAGCTCACTAGGCCTTCTTTCCTAGTCTGTTTTAGTCTGGAAGCTCTCCTGAACCCTGTCCATCATAGGTGACCCTGCTGGTGTTTATAATACGAGGTGACATAACTTCCAATATCATAGCAACATACAAGCCACTACAGCATGGCAAACTGACAGATGAGTGGTAGATTGAAACAATAGGAATATGCTTGAACAGTGATTTTGAAAATAATCTTATTCTGCAATAATATTTCAAACATAATTTTGCAAAAGCCAGTTGAAAAAATGTTTCCAGGTGATGTGTCAAGGTTCTGTTCACTACGTACAAGTAACCTTCAGTAGCAGAGAACAGTGACTGGGTAAGAAAAGAGGATTCTGAAGTCTCTACTGTGAAAGTACACTTTTTTTTTTTTTTGCTGCTCAGTCCTGTTGATGGTAGTGATTATATAGCAATTCAATTTCTTTAAAAATTACTTATTATTGTACCATTTTAATATTGTATGACACACTTGCCAGAAATCTACTAAAAATCTGGAAAATTAATGTGCTATGAAAAGTAGAGAAGAAACAGAACAGCTAATTGGTCCACACTGAGAAACCTTTATGTGTGGTTGAGGAGGAAAGCTGCAGTAGTGAATTGAAACTACTAGAGCAATGAGGTAGGAATTACAATGCCTCAGGAAAGAACATTCTCCTAGAAGAGTGACTGTTTTTACATCTTGGCCCAATTTAAGAGACAGATCTGAATTTCTTTTTGATTATGCATTACCATGTCTTTTACCTGGCACAGTCTTACTTAGATTACTTCTCCCCTTTTTAATTAGAATGTCTTCAGTTTGGGGTTTCCTCAAAAATTTAACATAGATTTACCATATGACCCGGCAATTCCACTCCTAGGTATATACCCAACAGACCTGAAAGCAGGGACTCAAACAGGTAATTGTACATCAGTGCTCATTGTACCACTAGTCACATAGCTAAAAGGTGAGAACAAGCCAAGCGTCCAACAATAGGTATAAAATGTTGTATGTTATTTTGCCATAACATACTACGTGATACATACTGTGGTGCTGATGAACTTTAACAGCATTGTGCTGAGTGAAATAAGTTAGACCAAAAGAACAAATACTGTGTGATCGCATTTATATGAAACATCTAGAATAGGCAGATGCATAGGGACAAAAGTGTATTTAGTGGTTGCCAGGAGCTGAGGGAAGGGAAATGGGGAGTTAAAGTGTTAGTTTCTGTTTGGGGTGATGAAAAAAATGTAGAAATGTAGGGTGGTGATGGTTACACAACATAGTGAATGGAATTAATGTCTCTGAACTGCACACTTAATCATGGTTAAAATGGCACAGAAGGGCAGTGAATGCACAGGGAGACAGCTGAGGGGCCAGAGTGCATGAGAAGAAAGGACACAGGGAAGAGGAAATTAGGGGAAGGAAGTGGAAAGAGAGCTGTTACATTGTGAGAAAATTGCAGTCAATGTCATGAGACAAAATGTGTATGAACTGCTGTATGGAAAATGAATTTGCTCTGTAAACTTTCACCCAAATCACAATAATAATAATAATAAAGATTATAGGAGTGACACATGTAATCTGAATAACAAAAAAGAAAAAATGGTTAAAATGGCAATTTATTATTATATATATATGATATAAAAAACCAAACTCATTGCTGTTGAGTTGGATCCGACTCATAGCAACCCCTTCTTGGGTTTCTGAGGCAGTATCTCTACGGAAGTAGATTGCCCAGTCTTCCTTCCAAGGAGTGGCTGGTGGGTTTGAACCCCCAGCCTTCTGGTTAGCAGTCAAATGACTTCAGCACTATACCACCAGCACTCCCATATATATATATATGTGTGTGTGTGTGTGTGTATATATATATGTGTGTGTGTGTGTGTGTGTATATATATATATATATGAAGTCCCATATATATATATATGAAATCTGCAATTAAAAAATATATAACTAATGGCAAAAAAAAAAAAAAAACTAATGGAAGAAATAAATTCTGTTGGGGACATTCTAGGAAATACCTAATCTGTAAGTAAGAGACAATTTAGCTGAGGAGAGAAGATACATAAAAAAAGAGAAATTACCTCATAATACAGCAGTTTAGAATTTAATGTCACAAAGAATTGTATTCTGGCTTTACTGTACGTATTTGATTCTTTTGGTGTGTTAAAGGTAAAATAGTCCATAAAAGTGCTTATGTGATGCAAAGTTTAATGTACTTAATAATTACATATTAAAATATTTACCAGTTACTGGTGTAGGTTTTCTTTGAGGTTTAGAATCACGTGTGCAAAAAGGGCAAGGAGGCCACATGTTCTGACCTCCTCTAATTCCACAAGAGGAAGACAGGGTTACCAGCAGTAACCCAAGGCCTATTCCTGCCAGGCCAGACATGCTGCCTCCCTCCAGCCCTTTCACCAACCGTTCCTCCCAGAGCACCCACCACCTCTCTCCTGGGTTCGATAATTTGCTGCAGTGGCCACACAGAACTCACAGATTACAAGGTTTATTAGGGAAGCACCACAGGCTACAATTCAAGCTCAGGAAAAATGCTCAGTCTCTCTCCCAGCCCACTGTCCCTCAGCCAACAGTCTCTCACAGTCTCTTTCCCAGCAGTGCTGGTCCCTCGGTGTCTCACTCAGCAATGCGTGTCTCTTGCGTCTCTTTCCCAGCAGCACGTGTCTCTTTCAGGGGCGTGTGTCTCTTTCGGCAGCATGTCTTCCTCAACCAGTAGTCAGAGAGCATTCTGCCTCTAGGAGGCCTCCTTTTGAGCCTGGCAGGGTGGTCAAACTAGCAAATCATAGCATCAGAACTCTAAGCACCTGAGAGAGAGTGGGCACCTCCCAGAACATTGTTTTGTGCCACTACCAACAGAAATACTCCAGGTGGGCGACTTTAGCAATCAGGATCTCCTCAGTTGCTCATAGAAAATCCCACCTTGGAGTTTACAAAGACTTACGGGTAGAAAAGCCACACTAAGTAATTTACTACACTGCAACGTGTACATACAGAAAGTGGAAGGGCAGCAAGTGAGAGGATGGCACTGCTTTAGTAAGTGGTCCCCTGGAGGCCAGGTCCTAAGAAAATGAATGTTAAGTGGATGAAGAGACTTCCCTCAGGACACATAATTTGTAATTGGAAGAGATTCCAGGTTCTTTATTTTGATTTTTTGCTTAGAGATTTTCCCAGCACAGAGTCTCTCAACGTGGATGTTTGATAAGCACTTCTATATATTGTTTTAATTAGGCCATTCATTTTATGTTTCTTCCTTCACACTACTATTCTTTGCTTCCATACCTGCCCCCCAACTCCCAACCTATCCTTGTTCTGGCTTCTCAGCTGTTCTAGTGACGATTGGTGGGCTGATGTGGTGGTGGGATAAGGCAGGTGGGGAAAGGGATGGGGCAGGAAGAGGATAGAGAAATTCTTTTCTTCCACCACTTAGTTCTGGTTGATTTGGGCCACAAGGGTGATTGGAAGGAGATGACAAAGTACTGTCTGCAGCTCCAGGTTTCACCCTCCAAGCAGCTGCTGTAGCCTGTTCCTGGTTCTCAGCTTCTGCGAGGGTGTGTAGAGAGTGAAAAGGGGACAGGCTTTAGAATCCCACAGACCTTGTTAGATGTCAGCTGGGTAACAGACTTCACTGCGGTCAGGTTGCCTGTGTTCTGTGAGTTTCAGTTTCTTTGGGTATAAAATGGAAATGATAACGCCTACCTCTGATGATTATTTTTTAAACCCAAATCTGGACATGCCACCTACCTCCTTATATATTTCTGTATTTTCCCATTGATAGTAGGATAAAGACAAACCCTTTACCATGTTCTGTAAGGTTCTGCATAGTGTGGCCTTCTCCACCTCAGTCAGCCTTCTGTCTCCGTTGCTCTATCTGCTTGAGTTTCCCTGGACTTTCCTGAACTTGCCATATTCCCTCTGCTCTAGGGAAAACCTTTTCTGGCTGGAAATATTCTTTCTTCTCTTGGTTTTGTTAATGCCAGAGTCTCAGCTCAAACCTCTCTGCCTGTGACCACTCTAACTAGGTTAAGTCTACTTACCCACCAGCTAAAGGCATTCATAGATTCCTTTTGTCATTTGCCATAGTTTCAACTTGACCTTAGTCTGTCTTCACAAGGCTTTTAGCTCATTCCCAACACTTTGAGCAGTGCATGGCTGAAAATAAAAAAACTCAGTGCCACCAAGTCGATTCTGACTCATAGTGATCCCCCTGTTGGGTTTCTAAGGCTGTAAATCTTCACAGAAGCATACTGCCTCATCTTCTGCTGAGTATCTGGTGGGTTTGAACCATGGACCTTTTAGTTAGCAGCCAAATACCTTAACCATCACACCACCAGAGTTCCTTTGACTGAAAATAGTCACAAAAAATGCTGACATTTCAGGGGTAAAGATGTGTTTCTGGCATACTAACTTAACCACTGAAACATTTAATAATAATAAGTACAGTGTTACAAATACTAGTTTCATAACAGAGATTCAACAGCAGTTATTTGTTTTGAGGGGGATATGGTCACTTGTAATAGTGTGGAATGTAGGTTTCAAGTGACCT